ATCCAAGCCAGAATCGATTTTAATCGATAAATCGATTATAAAAACCCACCCCTATTACAAAAGACAAGCCTAGAACAATAAATAGCACACTTAACTATTCAATAGCATACTTAGCTTATAGTGCTAGCACGTGCTACTAGCAAATAAAAGTAGCTCAATGGAAAAGAACAATCGTCTAAATGTAACAGTAACCTTACACCTTTGACTCTGGAAAGGTTCTTCATGAAATACGAAACTCCTGCAGTCTCATTAAAATGTTAGCAGCAAACAGATCATGGATCTGCCTTTTTTTACCAGCAAATTTACAATTCACTGGCAAAATCAGTACTGTAACTCTTCGTCGTGCTCCTTAAGGCACGCGGAAAGATAAATCCTGAGAAAGGCAACCGCCATCAAGAACGTAGCCGCCTTATAGGATGTTCATCAGTGACCTGACCTGCTTCCCACAAGGTGTTCTATTTCCACCTCGTTCCCAGATCAGTGAACATGATGTGAAAGAAATGTGATTCAGCAGACCAGGCCACCTTCTTCCACTGTTCTCTTCTAATGTTCACCTTCCCACAACAGATGCTTTTAAGCCTGGACATGGGAAGGTATGAGCAGGGATTACTCTGTTGACACCTTTCTATCATAGCTACCATTAAGGTTTTCACTCTCCACATGCATCACTGAACCTTGGCCACCGCAGGAGTCTTTCCTTGCCCTTCCTTGGACTCCTTTTGGTAGGTACTACCCACTGTATATGCTACAAGAACAGCCTAACCACTCAGGTCTTACTGTAACGAGACAATCCGTATCAGACACTTCACACGGAAAAGTTTTAATGTTGTCTGTTTATGTACATGAAGCTAGGATGAATAAATGTTTACTAAAAGATGTGGAAGACATACTTGAGGGGGAGACGGGCAGGGAAGCCGGAGAGCCATGTGAGGCCATGAAATCAGCCAGCTGCCTCAGTGCCCATAGATTGGATGAGCTGCCACCCTTCTTCATCTGTTCCTGGATCAGCACATCCAGCTCCTCTCTAAATGACTGCAGAAACACAGATAATAAATGACTATATTATCAAAGACATATACACAGATCATGCCTTAAAAATCTTTTCAGCTTCATAAAAATGTTTATTTGAACTTCCTTTTGTACAGTTTGAACATTTGAATACTGGATTGACTCCTTTTTCCTCACAAGCTAAAACTCACTGCAAGTGTTTGAAATAGCGTCTAACTGCAACAATTTCACAGGAGCTTTAAGCACAATCACAACGTTATAAACACTTGTCCGTTACATGGGTGAGGGTGAGGGAAAATATTTAATGAGTCACCCTCATTGCATCTGTCCTTGCAATTCATAGTCACTCTCACTCCATATGCAGAAGCACACACAATCACTCAGCATGGAGGTCCAGCACTGGCTGTAACCCGAGCTGTCACATGGCATTTGAGACCAGATTTATTCATCTGTGAGGAGATAATCACATCCAGAGAGGAGAGAGAGGGCAAGAGAGGCTGAGGGGAAAGAAAAAGAATAAATCAGACGCGAGCAGACGTCTTACTGGACTCTGAAGGAGGCTGGAGATGCGTTTCTTATGCTGTGGCCCGATGCTGGGGGTGGAGTGCTGGGGAGACTGGAGGCCCTCGGAGACTCCATCACTGGGACTGCGCTGCACCGGGGTGCCCTTTGGGGTGGGAGACTTGCTCATCTTTTACTATTTTGCAGTGGGCGTCTTACAACCAGGGGTGGGTCTGCAAAGAAAAAAAATGCAGTTAATTACAAAAACTGTAAATTGTAAATCGCAGTGGCCTTTTTAAGTGCTTACAAACCGTCAGGTAACACTCACTTACATCATTGAGATGTAAATGTTTCTGCTGATTTACAAACTGTGAATGTCACCAGCTCTAGTGCACCACATGGGGTTTGGTGTAGTGTAGTGGTCTGCAAAATAATCTGATGTAAATGATAGTCCTATTAAATTTTACTCGTATAGCATCAAATCACAACAACAGTCACATCAAGCTGCTTTATAGTCTAAGGTAAAGACGCTAACAATCAAACAACCGCCTATGAACGAGCACTTTGCAACAGTGGGAAGGAACCTCCAGCAGAAGCAGGCTGAGGGAGGGGCGGCTGCTGTGACCAGTTGGGTGTGACGAGAGGATGACTGTATAGTAATGCTTCACATCTGTATACTGTGTACGGATGTGAAGCATTTATGGGCGGAAAAAAACTAGCATATCTTGGAGCCACAAACTGTGTTGTTGTTGTGATACATCAGTTAATTTGAGAAATCTCTGTATGTCTGTTCCCTCACCTACCAACTCTTCGCACCTGCTTATCCAGTTGTATTGCTGTGATTACCCAGGTCTGTGGCAATACAGAAGGCAGACTCTCAGTTACCAGGAGAGAGCATCTGTTGTCAGAGGGGGGCAGTGTCTTGCTCCAATAGCAGAGAAGTGCAAAGTTATAGCATACTGGAACATTTAATTGATGCACAGCATCATCAACATGCAGGCAGGATTTGGGATGACTGCATGGCAGCATGTTTGCACTGACTGAAAACCTGCTTTTGTAGAGTTTGAAAAGGTTCGGTTGATTAGTTCTCATATTTTGGTAAAAACTGTTTTCTCTGGTCCACTCTGTGTGGAGGAGACAAGCACACACACAAGTTTAACCAGCACAAGTTAGTGTGAAACCATCGCCCCAAATTGTGTCTGTTTTCAACACAATAACTTATCGATTGTGGTCTCAGTTCATCAATTTCCTGTTTTATTTTGAAATTACTCACCTAAGCTAAGTCTACATGATTCCTTTGCTTTTTTCTCACCAATTTTCAGCCACACCTCTCTCCCATCAGCTTATGACACACCCAGGATGTATACATCCTCCCTTCGATCCCTCACAGATTGTCTCAGCATTTTGTCAAGCTTTCTGGCATGTTGGGATTTTGGGTTGTTTTTTTTGGATTCTCCCTCTTGCCTCCATCTTTGTCAGTTGTTCTCTACCTGTGCTTGACCCAAGCATTGCGCATTAAAAACCGACATAGCTGAGTCCACTGTTTGGCTCAGGAGTTACAGATTGTCTGCGCATGATGTGTATAGTAGACCTTTGTAAATTGTAGCCACAAAAACAAAACAAAAAAACTGGTTTGCTCTCTTCTCTCACTCCAAAATGCAGCATGACTCTGCTTATTAGCAGAGAGCGACAAATATTGGTAAGACCAATACCAATATTTAATAATAATAACACTGGTTGATATTTTTATCGATGCTGATACCAATAGACCATGTGTGGAGAGTATGGGGAAATCTGTGAGTCAGCCAAATATCATCAACAGATGTTAGGGCTAAAATCTGTGAAAGGATCGCCTCCCCTGTAAATAATGACACAAGGTAGCACAACAGTTCATACAAAAAATATTTAAACTTAAAATCAGTGTTTGTTTTCTTTTCCTCTATTTTTTTTTAAATTAAGTGTAATTAAGTGTGCAGTCTGGGAAAGACCACTGAGCATCCAGACGTTCCATCCAGGCGTGGCCCGGTAAGTATGCTTGCAAAAGTCACACACACATGTCCCCAGACATTCAAACTAAGCGCAGATGAATTGAGAGTTTGCGCTCTTAAGCTTATGTAAACCATTTTCAATTTAATTTTTAATGATATGTAGGGAAAAGGCGTATTTGACAACATAATATCCTGAATTTAGTTTAAAAACAATCAGAAGGCACATCATGGACAAGCCCTTCCTTACAGCAGGACTGCTGCTCTGCTGTGGTGTTTTGTTTTTTTTTAAATTTTTTTAAATGGAAAACAAGTTTCCACCTTTCACTTTCTGTTCACACCCAGCAGGAAGAACGGACAGTCCAATCAGGATGTGCAGATGTGATTTAAAAAGTACAGTAGGAGAATAATAAATAGTTACAATACACTCCAAGAAGTATATGAAAATAAGTTTAATAACCTATTCTTAATATTCTACCCATATCATTCTAAAGCAGCAGCCATAATCCTTTTCAGCTTAAAAAGACACCCCTATCACAGCTCAGCCAAGGAAGTGTAAGTAAATATGCAAATGAGAGGAAAAACTTTTAAAGCTTAAGCTTCAGGAGCTCTGCTCACACCAGCCCAGAGAGACACTGAAGAGATCAAGCAAACGCGATCGAACATTAAAGTACAATTGTGTCTTCATTCAGCACGCTCATTTAAGTACAATTCAATTCAGCTCTAAATACCTCTGTGTTTTTCAGCATCCTGCTTCACAGCAGATAAATAAACAACGAGCCGGCCTGCGCATTAAGCCTCGGCGTCCTTGCACGTTCAAATGGGAGCATTAAGATGAAAAACCTACCCTGGCATTAAGGATGCCGTATTCCTCGGGGCCCTGGCCGGTGGAAGTGCAGAGCTATAGAAAATGCAGCATTAGCAGTAAGAGCTCACATGCAGAACCACTAAGAGGAAGTTAGCATGCGATATGGCTCGGTAATTGGAGAAAGAGTAAAAGAGTTACCGTAAGGATCTTCAGAAAAGAGCTGGCCACTCCCTCACTCAAACACACTCTGCTGCAGGGAGCAGATAAGGTCCCGCACACACCACACCCTCCCTCCAATGCTACCACTCACTAACTGTCTTCATTACTTACTTACTCGATTAGGTGCATTACTGCAATGCCACTGTTTGTGTAACCTCAGCTGAGATGCACTCTCATCCTCTGAAGGTACGAGAGAAAGTGGCAGCAGACACGTGTGCATTACTGCACCTCGCTGCAGCAGACGACTAAACCTTTAATGGAGTTTCTGAATAAACTGTGCACTTATCCCAACATCAGCTGTGCAAAAACATCAGCCGGTCCCTGAAGAATTAAGCCCCTCCCCCAAACACACACACACACACTGTGTTATATTATATGCAAGCTACACTGCTGCTTTAAATCTACATCTATTCACATAGATGGGTTTGTTTTAATGCTTTTGGCGCTCGTGTTTCACCAACGGCAGCAGCTCTCTCCTTTCCCTACCAGAGCATGGTGTGTGTGTTTCTCTGTCTCAGGGGGCAGAGGGGGCCCAGCTGCTGACAGGCACCAGACAGAAAGCTGCTCTCTCCAGGGAGGATCCTAATGACTAAAAGGGAGACATGGACTTCTGGCTGCTGGCCTTCCATCACTGCCTCCACCCCCTATCATTAGTCTCCCTGTGATGGCTGAACATGCTGCATCATCACCTCACTTTTGTTTCACAAAAGCTCAAGACGACTTCCTGAGTTCTACAGCTGAATCAGTACTTTCGAACCAAACGGTGAAATCAGACAGGAAACAATCATTTTAAGTGAATCTCGTTCTGCTTTTTTAAGGATTTTTTTCAATGTTTATCCTTAAAATCAAACCCTGGAAACTAAACACGCATTTCTCTTTAGACACGGAGCTTGTAGTGCATCATTTTCCACATTTGAGGGTTAGATTTGCAGCAGACAAAGCTATCATCGAGTGGTTTTAAGTCATTGTGTCTGAGCATTCACATCCAGCAGCACAGAGGCAGAGAGCACTGACTCAACATTTTGCATTGCTGGATCCATTTTCTTTGGCTTCCCTTCCATTTAGTTCATTTCACACCTTTTCAGCAAATCCAAACCAGCATTCCTTCAATAAATCAGAACAGATTTTGGTGGTGGAACTGAATAATTGTGGTCAGTCATTGCGTTTTAATGTCCTCCATCACAATTTGCATGTGCAGTGCTGTGAAAAAGTACTTGCCCTGTTGCTGATTTCTTAGGTTTTGCATATTTATCACATTTATATCTTTCAAATCATTAAAGCAATTTTATAATTACATAAACACAAGTGAATGCAAAATCCACTTTTTAAATGATTTCATTTATTAAGGGATAAAAGCTATCCAAACCTAACTGTCTGTGTGAAAAAGTAATTGCCCCCTAACCCTAATAGCTGGTTGTATCACCCTTGGAATTGTTATCAAGCGTTTGTGATAACTAATAATGAGTCTTTCACATCACTGTGGAGGAAGTCTTGCCCACTCTTCTTTGCAGGATTCTTGTAATTCAGCCACGTTGGAGGATTTCCAAGCACGAGTGGCTGATTTAAGGTCATACCAAAGCATAGCAATCTGATTTGAGTAGGCATAAAACGCCTTGTGAATACTTTTAATTTAAAGAAACTATATATGACCATTTAACTTTTGTGCATTTAGCTCTTCATCATCTCTCCCTCTCCACCACTGACTTCTCTTTCACCACCTCATCCTCCACAACTCAAGCCTCATCTCCTAACACATAAAAATATGCATAAACATGTTTATTTTTTCCTAATATTGTTGCAGTTATTATCAGCAGTGTGGACATGCAACTCTCCTGTCTCTGGACAGCTGGCCACTAAGTTTTTAAATCCATCAACGTTAGTGGCACCTCAAAAGACGGTTTCACTAATGCTGGCTAACAGCAGCTAACAGAGGCTAACATCAGCAAAACAGCAGCACTTACTGACAGAAAAGTTCAGCATGTCCTCAACAACTCACCTCAGTATCACTGCCATTAGACACAACTGAGCTTCATCGACTCATCGATTTGTACTCCTGTCACAAGGTTTTACAGCCTCCTCTGTAGTAAATTGAGGTGGAGGCATATTGGCAGCTGAGGTGAACGGCGGACTACTACAGATGCACTTCAGATGAATTTGAGGTAACTCAGGGATAAAAGCCTGAGATGAAACAAAATGTTTAATTGACACCTGTCCATATTTTAGTCCTGATTTGCTGCTAAGTGTTGATATTATTGATGTATGTTAAAATATATTGTGCACATAATTGTTGTATACACAAACACACATAAAAAAAATATTGGTGAAAAGACATCAGCTGGACTGGGTAAAAAACAAATAAACAGAGTTTAGTTGACTCCAATTTGCTAACATGTAGCAGTGAGATTTTACACTTTAGATTGGACACATTAATATTAAACATTTGACACAAGAGTGTCTTGTAGAAATGCAGTGTGCAGTAAATAAAAGTGCATTTATGCAAGATTGATGTAGCGGTATAATAAGTTTTGCAAATTCTCTGTAGGACAGTTATGTCTCTGCTGCCTCTAATGGGAAATTTGGCTCCAACTTGACAAAACATCAACACAGAAAGCATTTCAGCACATGAGACCAGCAGCTGAAGACACACACAAGAAATGGAGTGAACTACGTTAATTACAGTATTACTGAATCCTGCAGTTATTGAATATTCTTTGTGTGATCATGGACGGATGATAATGCATGAATTAAAAAATTCAGCATATGCTAATTGAGTCTAAGAATAAAAAGTAAGGAGTTGGGCATGAGCACATTATGCTCTTTAAGTTGTTTCAATTTAAATTCAAACAACAAAATTCCCACTTGCCAATATCGTATAAAATAAGCTCCAGTTTCGGTGATTAACAGTTTTTTTGTCTTTTTCAATTACAACCACCACCAAACTGCTCTTTTAAATACATACTGTCAACAAATTACTGAATTAAACAAGATGAACACAAGTTACAGGCTGAAATGGTGTCTGAAGTTCATTGCACTTACACTTTTTACATAGCATATGCTAAGTAGCTATCCCTCTGCATCTGGAGTTCAAGAACAAATAACTAAACAAAACACACAAAAAAACATTTTTAAATAAAAAA